TCTCTGGCTCTGTCTCTCTCTCTCTCTCTCTTGAACTTGGTACAGGATCTCACCACACACCTTGGACTTGTAGTGATCCTACTGTTTTCAGCCTCCCCAGCACTGGGATTATAGGTGTGCACCACCACGCCCAGACTCAGTGGATGGCTCAGCACGCCTGGGGGTGGGGCCAGCATGTGGTGCTGGGAATTGAACCCGGGTCCTGCTATCTCACTGGTGCAGTATTTGTAATTTCTGACCTGATGTTTTATTCATACATGTACAGTTTAGTTGATTACTGGTTTTTGTTTAGTGGTCAAGACTTTCTAGCAGAATTGTACCTGACATGCACAGATATTAAATTTACATCTTCACATCTCTGTGTTTCTGATCAGTTAGGATATAGTTAAGTCATCCTGGGATGAGGAGATAGCTCAGCGGCATAAGTGCTTGCCTACCAAGTGCAAGGTCATGAGTTCGATCCTCCTGGTAGCTTCATCCCCCAAAATTCATCCCAGAAGATAAGGAAACGACAAATATAATCCTGACTGTTGTTGTGCTTCCTTTACAGTGTATGATTTATCAGAAACCTTATTTTTCTATTTTTGTTCTAACATTTTCAAAACAGAATTTCTTTCATGAACAAATATAACTCTGTGGCACCCATATAAGTGCTGTAGAGCAAATAATAGTAGAGAAAAGATTAGCTCTTCCTAGAATGAAAAATTTCTTTGTTGCCTTAATGACTCTCATTCAATTATTTTAAATTGTAATGCTGCTTTCTTCCTAAGAACACAAAAGATGCCCGTGATGATTAACTTAATGTGAGCTCACTCTGATCCTGTAATGTCTTATGATTACAGGTGGGATAATGGAGTAAATACTAGCATAATACTTTGCCAGCAGCCACCAAGTTAATTAGATAACCGGAAGGTCAGAGCTGGCAGTCTGGCTGAGGGATTTGCCCCATTTAGCATTCTCTTCCTTCAGACTATAAATTCTAAGTCACAAGATAGATTTTTTTTCAGGTATGGAGACTTTGTGCTGTAGTAATCAGGTGGTATGAACGCAGATTTTGGAAATATATTCTACTTCCTTTTTCGATGGAGCATTTGTGTGTTTTGTATTTTTTTCCACTATTGTGTATAGTGCAAGATGAAGAAAACCCTCCCCAAGTTTCACATTTGTGAGGGAAGTGCTGCTTCTGTAGGTTAGTGCCTGGGAGGAGAAAGGGACATGGCGTCTCTCGAGGTGGTCGTACTGTTCATTGTACACCACTTAGAAGCTTTATAAATTATATTTTTTTTTAGTTAGCAAAGTTTTGGCCATGTTTTCTTATGAAAACATAGTTTTATTAACTTCTAATTAAAAACTACTAAATCTAATGGTGTTATCAGTGGTGTACCAAGGATTTTCACTATGTGTGTGTGTGTGTGTGTGTGTGTGTGTGTGTGTGCACGCGTGCACATGCACGTCATGTGTATTCAGATCAACACATCAAGTGAGATGGATGCATTCAGGGTAGTATGGCCGTAGACCAAACCAGTAACATCAATAGCCAATACCGGAGATACCATTTTTCTTTAATTTTCCATCCATCCTTCCAACACTAGTTTTGAATTGGATAGAATTAATCTCTGAAGGCACATTTACAGTTAGGGCTGGCAGATAGTAAATATGTTAGGTTTGTAGGGCCCTCTGTCTCTGTTCTAACTACTCGTTAGTCATTTCATTCAAGAAAATGCTGTTCAGAAAAGAATTGACTTGTAAATTGTGGTTTAGATGATGCAAGAATCTAACTGAACATAGTTTGTGTGCTACGCAATAACTTTAAAAATATTTTAGTGCTTGTAAGTATTTTACCACTCCTCGTGTCTTAGGTTTGTTAACTTAATTCTCATCTGTCTTTGAGAGTTAGCTATAAAAGACTTTGCCATTCTTCCTTTATTTAAACAAGTTGATCATTTCAATTCAGTCTTCTCTGGTACTGGTTATCGTTACTGGTTTGGTCTGTGCTCACGCCGCCTTGAATGCACCCATCTCATCCGATGTATTGATTTGGACACACACATATACACACATACAAAGCAAGAACTGAAAATCCTCATTACACCACTGATAGCGCCATTAGGGTTAGTAGTTTTTACCTAAAAGTTAAGACAACCATATTTTCATGTGAAAACATGGCTGAAACATTGCTAACTAAAAAAAAGTTGAATTTACAAAGCTTCTAAGTAGTATGTACAATGTGATTCTCTTTGTAAAAAGATGATAAGGAGAGGCCTATGTGTATGTTTGTCTACTTGCATATTGCAAATATGCGAAAGTATACTATCAGTGAGTTCTTAATTTTTCAAACAAATTAAATCAGTTTATCTCAATATGAGCAGAAAATATTTACTAAAGACATCAAATAGCTTCCAGGTCTCAGGCTTAGAAGAGGGCTCCGAGTTACTGGTCCTGCAAAGATGCCCGGCAGCTGGCCGCAGGTGGGCACTTGCAGTTAGAGTCATTGTTACCACTGGGCTGGGTTCTGGGTCTTCCCCTGCTGTTCTTAGTACTCCGGAATGGATTCTGGACTGTAACTACTTTTCTTGTCCTGAGTGTGCAGTTCAGAGCCTGCTGTCGGTGCATTTGATTGACAGCTTGTTCTTCTAACCCTGGTGCAAGGGAAGCTTCGAAAGCACGCGGATCTCACTTCAGCAGTGAACGCAGGGCCCTGCCCAGGAGGTTGGAGTTGTGCCACATGCAGGAAGAGGATCTGGAGTGCAAGCAGTACACTGTGCACACGCAGGAAATTGTCCGAGTTGATTATTTCTGCACAGTGAAGTTAGAAAGACTAGGGAGCGGGAGAGGGCTCTTCTGTCCATGGAAAAGGGGAGAGATGATTTTACTCAGCTCTTGGGCTATTCCTTCCTCTTAGAAGAACTCAAGAATGTTTCCCTCAGTGGGCAGTTTTGTCAGTTTCCTACTCAATTGTGTTCTAAAATTCTCTTTATAGTTTCCTTGAATTCCTTGAGCCCTATATTGAGTGTACTAGGTTGGACAGCAGACATGAAATGCTTTTCTTGTTTGTTCTGGCTTGGTGGAGTGGATTCAGGTTACGTTTCTGAGGTCTGCCACAGGTGGCGCTGACATCGAAAGTTCCCAGCTCTTAGTGAAATGGTCGTAGCTGCAAGGTGTCAACATAAAATTCACTTAAAATCAGGGTCCTGGTATGCGTTTTTCGAGCCACTGTGTAATTACTGCTTGATGGAAATTTGGTCTCCAAACGTAATTCATTCCAAATAAAGTTTTAGCTGGTATCTTGATAGTGTTTTAAACTTTTTAAAAAATATTTTTAGATTTACAAAAAATAGATACCACAGAATATATGACACCTGCAGTTTCCGTTATTATTAATATCTTCCATTAGTGTGGTATGCTTGGTACAGTTGAACCAATACTGAGGTATTGCTATTGACTAAAGTTCGTACTTCATTAATGCCCTTAGTTTCTAACTAATGACTTCTTTTTCTGTCACGGGATAACTGATATATTTTACATATCTTGTATCTGTTCAGCTGTACAGTAGTGTCAGAGAGCCAGGTAGTGCTATTTCTAATGTAAGTAACTTTCAGAATTTGGGAAAAGAAAACATAAAGATAAGGCTTTGTCACAAAAAGGTTCTTACATTCTTTTATCCCAATGTCACCTGAATAATCGACTTTTTATTTTTCTCTCCCGTTCTCCGTTTAGTGGAACAGGTTCCAGTGGAGCCGTACAATATCCCCCTGTCACAGGCTGAAGTCATCCAGGAAGGGAGTGATGTCACTCTAGTTGCCTGGGGCACACAGGTTGGTACTGGAGATCTCAACTCCTAAAGCCCACACTGCCTTGAAGCCCTTGTATTTAATCCTAATATATGGAGAATTGAAAATGACATTTTCATTATATCTTAGATTAAGAGTGCTTGGTGCTACTGAGGCAGATTTGTGCTTTGCTAATTTTACTGAGGTATAATTGTTATATAGGTAGTTTTCAAGGTATTCAAAGTGATTATACACACACACACACACACACACACACACACACACATTGTGAAATGATTATAGCAGTCAATCCGTGACTCGTTCGACACCACATCGTTACCATTTGTGTGTGTGTGCACGTGGGCGTTGAGGACACTTCCGTCGTATGTGTCCCACACGGTGACTTTCAAGTACACGAGACATTAGCTGTAATCACTATTCTCAGAATTTCTCTGTGACCTCAAGCTTGTGGCCCTGGTCTGCGGGACGGTGAGGTGCCTGTTCTGGTGTGGTGCACTGCGTGAGCGTGTGATAGAACATGCTGAAGCTTATGAGGCATATTGATTTGTGACCCTCAGAAGCACGTCACATGGCCACACTCCTGGGGCTGCGCCTGACGCAGTTCTTCTTGCCCCATTTCCTGGCAGCTCTTCCAGGTACTTTCTCTCCACCTGGCCTCATGTGGTACTCTTGCCTCAGAATTTCAGACTTTTGTCTTTTCCAGGGACTTTCTTCACTGACCCACCTCAGCTTTTTCTGTCTTCTTGTCACATTTCTCTGTCTCCAAACCTTAAGCTCAAGACTGTTTTTCTCTTGCGACAGATCCTGTCTGTCCACCTGTCTGTCCATCTGTCCATCCATCCTTCTCTTCTTCCCTCTTTCCTCCCTCCCTTTCTTCCTTCTTCTTTTAAAGAAATGGTCACATTGTCTCTGTAAAAGAAATACTTTGTTTTAGGAAATCGAGGGCAGTGTAGCATGTGCTTATTTTAGAAAGCTAAGGACCACACTAAGATAGTTACAGAGCTGTTCCCAGTGCCCGCAGCTCCTGCTTCCTCTGCTTGGCTGTTGGCATGGAGTCCTGCAGCCCTTCAGGCTCTCACCACAGTAGAGTCACCCTATGCTTGCTGAATTGCACCACACCTGGATCCATGTGGCCCCTGCATGTCCTGCGCCCCTCTTCTCCTCCTGGTAGGAAAGCGAGCTGCGCAAGTCCCAGCTCCCCAGCTTGCTCTTCTGTCTCCTCTGGGCCTCTCCCTTCCTTTGTAGCTGCCGGTGCAGGGCTCTGTCACCTTGCATTCCTTTCCCCCAGCTGAGGCCTCACCGGCCTGGCTCTTTAGCTTTTCCTCTCTGTGTTGCTTTTATTCAGACGTTTTGTGTCTTTGTATCTGAAGGGTGCCTTTCCCTTTACATACGGTTATGCCTTCTTCCTCTCTTTTATCACCAAACTTATTTATTGTTTTTTATGGTGTCCCAAGTCAAACGCGGGGCCTTATGCATTTTATTATATGTTAGATTATGTTAGAATTGGCAGTCAAACCCAGGACCTTACGCTTGCCAAGCAGGCACTTTGCCACTGAGCTATATCCCCGGAGCCTTATGTCTTTTAGGCCAGGACGGTACCACTGAGCCATATCCCAAGCTGCCCTTCCCTTTCCCATTTTTTTTTTTATTTTATTGTATTTTGCTCTATTGTAATACATTTTACTAGCACCTATAAATTTTTCAGTGTGATACTTCTGTCCATGCATGTAACATGTCCATCCATCCTCTCTGCTAGTCCCCTTTATATCTCTTATTCCCTTCTTGTCAAATAGTCATCTCCTTTCTGTCTTTCATGCCATCTTTTTTTTAAGCCTCTGCATTCTTGGGAAATGTCCTGTTTGCCTTTCTGAGCATAGCTTATTTCACTGACCACAGTCATCTCCAATCCCATCTGTTTTCCTACAGATGACAGAGTCTTGGGTGTTTTATAGCTGGGGAACACTTTTATATGGATACCTACATCTGCTCTATCTATTACTCAGTCTTTGGGCCCCAAGGCTGGTTCCCCAGCTTGGCTGATACAAATTTTGGCACAATCAACAGGAGTATGCAAGTATCCTATAGTATACTGACTTTAGGCCCCAAAAGCAGTGTGGCTGAGTCATATGGTATATCTGGTTTTAGTTTTCTGAGGAACTTCTGTACTATTTGCCTAATTCCAGTCCCCTTTTAAAAAACTTTTGAAGCAGGGTCTCACTAAGTTGCCCAGGCTGCCTGCTTGTGATCCTTCTGCCGCAGACTTCAGAGCAGCTGGGGCTGTAGGCTACTAGGCCTGACTCTTATTGTTAAATTCGTAGGTCTACGTCATACTATCTCTATTTAATTCCTTAATGTATTCATGTTCCTATGCCTTAGAACCTTTTTATCCATTAGTTTACTAAACCTACTTTCAGTAATTTAGAAGCATGATTGGTAAATCTAAACTTCGTCTCAACTGCTATTATGTGTGACATTGGCTGCTAGCTATGAAATGGAGTTTTGCTTTAGCTTTTGGGGTATTGGGCCTGCTGGTTTTGATTTCTTAATTTTCTTCTTGTCTCCTCAGCTGTTTTTTGTTGTGTCTTACTTTCAGCGAGCTTCTGTTCTGCTGTTTTTCTCTTAGATGCTGGTGAGCTACGGGATTCCTTGGCGTTTGTCCTCTACTTCTTCCTCCAAATGCTTTCCTTATGAACTGCTCGTGACTCTATCTACCATGTGTTAGCTTTGGAATGAGAATCTTTAGCACCAACTTCATACATTTTCTTTTAGAATCTGCTTTTTAACCATTAATATTTAATTCATTGGGCAGGCTGGATTTAACCTAACATTTATGAACCCTTTCTCTAGATCTATTCTGTTGACTACAAACAGTATCTGTAAATATTCTTGTCAGCACTTAACTAACTTTCTGTCTTTCATGCCATCTGTCTTTCAGGTCATGCCACAGACCTGAATGTTTCTGGCCGATCCCTGAACGTTTTTCTCTTCTTCTTAGGTTCACGTGATCAGGGAAGTAGCTTCGATGGCAAGAGAGAAGCTTGGAGTGTCCTGTGAAGTCATCGACCTGAGGACCATAGTACCTTGGGATGTGGATACAGTTTGCAAGGTATAAATAAAGTGCTGGCAGGATGTTGCGTCCTCGGGACCTTGGGCCAAGGTCTTCTTTGTGTGAAGCACTGCTTGAAAGTTGTGAGCTGCTTCGGCATTTCCAACTGATCTGAGGTTTTGAAATTTGCGTTGTGAAAGAAATGGGTGTTGTGTAACCGGCCTACTATTTACAGAGTCGAATCACTTCCGAGACTCTTTATCCTCCCACTGTTTTCAGTATGTAAAATATTAGAGAGCTCTTCGCAGGCCGGCAGCTATCCTGGGCTCTGTGAGTCATGGGGGGTGTAAGTGAGGGAGCACGGCAGGGGGCTGCGGGCACCTGTAGTTTAAATTTATTGGTCTCGGTTCAGTACGCTGGGTTTAATTTAGTTAGATGAATGGTTTGGCTGAATTTTCATTCATCTTCTTTCCTCGGACAAGGGCAGATTATTCTTCAAATTATAGCCCTGTCTCACAGCCTTAATAGGCTCGATCACACAGTGTTATTGCTGCGGGATTCTGGCTGCTCTGATGAATAGTTTCTGAGTAGTCTCTTGATCTTTGGCCTGATTTGATGGATGCTGCTTTCAGTAGTCATGGAATTCTCATAATCCCTCCTCCAGGTAGGGCTTAGTTTTTACGTATTTAGCCATAACTGATATCTTTCATATTAATGGCTGGATAATTGAACTGTTCTCGTGTTGGCACATCGGAAAGATTAAACTTCTGTCTACTTAGCTACTGAAGTCCAGGTAGTGATGTCAATGCTGTGTTTTCTGACAGATTTATATTGCAGCAAGTCAGCCCCAGAGTGTTTTACTTCATTTATGTGTGTGTGTATATATGTATGTATGTATTTTTGGAGAGCTGTGGGAGTCTCTTAGCTTTTATAGGCCATGTATTAGGTTAGTTACATGGAAATAATCTGTAGAGACTTGTGTTATAAAAATGTAGCTGGGGGAATTTTTTAGCATGAAAGTTGTTTTATAATGTGTTAGTTTTTGTGTGTGTGTGTTTTAGGGAAGGGTCTATAGGGTTTACAGGGTCTCACTACTAGATCAGACTCATAGTGATCCACCTGTTTATAGCCTCCCAAGAGCTAGGATTGCAGTCTCACTTGCCTTCTCAGTGTATGCCAGGGGTGGGGCAGGCGCAGCAGGCCTGGGGATCGTAGGTACAAGATTAAGAACTTATTATAGTTCTGTACAGGGTCTCGCTAAACAGCCCACATTAGTAGTGATCCTCGTGATTTCTGCCTCCCAAGTGCTGGGATTACAGGTGTGCGCCACTGTGCCCGGACTCCATCGCGGGCTCAGCGCACCCGGGGGTGGGGCTGGCGTGGCATGCGGAGCCAGGGATCGAACTCTGGCCCCTGTGCTTACCTAAGCAAGCACTTAGTCTGCTGAGCTATACCACCGGCCCTTTTGGTCTTTTTTGGACAGGATCTTGCTATACAGTTCAGGCTACCCTTGAACTCACTTTGTAGCCCAGTCTGTCTTGTGATGATCCTCCTGCCTCAGCCTCCCAAGTGTTGGGAATACAGGCATGTGCCCCCACGCCTGCCTCTGACTTCCTTTGACAGCTGAAGTTTCCACTTGGGTTTATATTTTTAGTATGGGTGGTGCTTTTCCATGGCATGGTGGGTGTTCTGATAGGTAGGCAATCTCTTTACTTTATTTACATATTTGTTTACCTATACATTAAAAAAGGATTTCTGTTAGCCTTTGTCTATTTATTTACTTATTTATTGTACTGTGGATTGAACACAGGATGTTGAGTTTGCCAGGCAAGTGCTGAAGCCACTGGGCTATCTACCAGGCTCTCAAAAAGGATTCCCAGCAGCTTGCATTGAAACACAAATACAGCAGCACCCCAAGGTGTGAATGTGAAAGCAAAGAGAGGAGGCGTAGAGGGAGAAAGAAGGGGGCAGTTATTTACGTTCATTTCTGTACCCCTTTGCTCGTCCTCCCTCCGTCAGCTCTGCTGCTTACACCTTTCTGAGGTCCCAGACGCAAACCTTGCATCCTCTGTGCTGTGGCAGAAGACAGAGAGGCCTGCCCAGCCCCCCGCCACGTGGGAAAGTAATGTCAGGTCGCTGGCTTGTCATCGTCCCCTTCGCTTTGTGTAGGGGTGCTTTCATCATGAAAGCCAGCCTGCCGGCTTGTCATTTCTTGATTACTTTGGGCCTCTTTGTGACTTTCTTCCTTGCTGGTAGGGGCCATCTTGGTTGTGTTTCATGTGTCAAAGGAGAAAATAGTTAGTGCTTAGCTTCCCTGTGGTTCAGAGGTGGCATGAGGGAAAAGGTCTCTATAGCCAAACGTGCACGTTAGAAATGAAGGCTTCTTTCTGGGGAGCAACTAGAGTTTAGCTTTTCTTCTTTAGCTTTGTGAATTTTATAGCATCCAAAATTTATCTTTGCAGTGTTTTTCAGTTAGCTGTACTTTATTAATTGCTTTTTTCATAAGACAAAATTGGATTTCTTAGTTGTACTTACTATGTGTCAGCTCAACACCAATGGACATCTTTTGGAACGGCTAATCAAAACAGCCTATTCAAGTGAGTTCTTAAACACATATATTAGAGATCTGTACACAGTTTATGCTCTAGGACTGCTGAGAAGTTCATGCTTTCAGCTTAGCCTTGGAGCACTGTGTGTGGGCCGAGAAATGACAGCGCTGTGTTGGTAAAAGGACAGAAAAGTGCACCAGTGGGGTGGGAGAGAGACCAGAACCAGACCTGCTGGCTTGGGGACAGAAGTGATGCTAGAATCAGAGAGAAAAATGATGCATTTCAGTAACAATAGTGATTCATTTAGATACAGGAAAAATAATTATCTTATGCCTTATCACAAGCTGTCAATTTCGAATGCAGATCTGACTGTGAATAAAAAAAATAAACCTCTTGGAAGAAAGCATAAGATGTCCTTATGATCTTGTGCTCTGACAGAATGGTGCAGTTTGTTTTATTAAAGTTAAGAAAATTCAAATGGGTGCTAGTAACAGTAGATAATTCATGGATTTGTAAAAACTGAGGGAAACTTAAGTCCAGAAATATAAAGTTCTTGTGCAGTCAAAAGGACAAAGGCAGACAACCTAATAGAAAGATGGGAAAAACTCTTGACAGAATACTTCACAGAGGAAAGTAGCCAGACGGCCAGTACCACATGGAAACTTGCCTGATTGCTTTAGTCAGCAGGGGATATAATACCCCTGCAGTCGCAACATTCTGATTAAAGTTACAAGCACTCCAAGTACTAAGTGTTGGCAAGAGTGGGAAGCAACTCAGTTCTCGTACGTTATGGTGCAACCACTTTGGAGAACTGTCAGTAACCACTTGAGCCCTCTAATCTGTCTATATAAAGTCTACGCACATATTCCCAAATCCCACGACCAGTTCTGAAATCTAAAACACCTCTTTTTCCAAGCATATCAGAAAAGGAATGTTGAGTCTGTATTTCAGGTCATTCATTAACTTGAGGGGAGCCTTGACGCGCTTTGTGCAGGGCATCTCGTTGGTCATGTAGTTCTGCCCACAACCCTTGGCTCAGTTTTTCTTGTCCCACAGACAGCAGACAGGTGCTGTGCAGTAGCGCCCTTCTCAGATCTTCCCAGGAGCGAGAGCAGTGGCTATCGCCCGGCTTTCCTGTTGAGGGGTGACCCCACTCCATCTGAGCTGGAAAGTGAAGTGTGGTCTTACAGAGCAGGGCTGTGCACCCTTCGGGGCTGTCCAGCTTGAAAGGAGGACGTCAGTGGGCAGTGATGCGGGGACATGGCCTATGGAAAGACAGCTGGATTTTGGCAAGAGAATGATGCGCTTTGAAAAAGACTCAGTATTTTACGAATCTTATTGGTATATAGTTTAGAACCTACTACTGAGGAAAAGAATAAAACAAGATAGTATACAAAGTGCAGCGTTTATCGAGAAGGTAAAACCAACACATAATTTGGGTGTATTTATATTTTCACTGATGATTAAATTATACTAATTCTTGAAGTGTGTAAGGATTTGCCCTGACATCTTGATTTTGTTTCTTTCTCTCACATTCTGCTTCCCACATTTAATAATCCTAGAGCAGATCCTGCTGGCTTTTAGGACACAATATGTAAAATCTGACCACTACTTCTGCCGTTACGCTTGACCTTGCTCCAAGCCACCAGCATTTCTCACCTGGGCTTTGGCTGCAGCCCCTGACTGTTGTGTCTTGCTTCTGACCTTCCCAAGCCATAGGCCGGGTCTGACATGTGTCCCTTCCATCCCTCTCATCGCAGAGGGCCTCTGTGGTTTCTCATCCAGCTTGGAGGAAAAGCCTAATCCCTCACCACAGCCTACCAGGGGTTGCTCCGTCTCTCCGTATTCCACACCCATCGACGCTTTGGGAGCTTCTCCTCTCCAGGTTCACGGGTCACTCTGCTAAATCACTTGGGTTCAGTTCCTCATTAAATACTTTCCAGACCAGATTCCACAGTAGCGAATCCTCTTACAAACGTTCTCTTATACTTTTTCTTTCTTTTTCTCTGTAGCGATCAGCAAGCCATAACATAACGTAACATATTGAGTAAATTAACTAGTGTAATGCAAATTACAGTGCTCATTTATGTCTTACATTTTAGTTTGCCGTTTTTTTTTTTTTTTAACAGTTGCCTGTTTTTCATAATGATACTAGGAATTGCCCATCTGAATTTTCCTCGCAGTAGGACCAGTTTGTCTCCAGTGAGAGGTGAAGCTGACTGG